TCCTCAGGGTGTGTCCAATCCATTTCCATTTCTTCACCTGTATGTCTTCCTTTACTGGCCTTTGGCTTGTTCTCTCCCACAGTTGAGCATTAGTGACTCTATCGTACCACTTGATCCCTTCTATCCTTCGTAGGCATCCATTTACGAAGCTGTGCAGTTTCCTTGCTATTGTGTGTTACAAGTGCTATAAAAAAAAAAATGCTTACTAAAAAGGGATTTTTTTCACACCAACTTGTGTCACAGAAAAGCCGAGCCAGAGTCAGAGCGTAAGTCACGGAAGAGAGAGGGCAAGGAGAAGTCTCCCAAACATAGCTGCTGTGCCTCGTCCAAGAAAGACAACAGTGAGTCCTCAAATGAAACGGAGAGAGAGAGAGAGAGAGAGAGAGAGAGAGAGAGAGAGAGAGAGAGAGAGAGAGAGAGAGAGAGAGAGAGAGAGAAAGAGGGGGAGGGAGGGGGGGAGGGAGAGAGAGAGAGAGGAAGAGGGAGGGAGAGAGAGAGAATATTTTATGATGGAGCAGGTTGCCTCTACACATGAGACATGTATTTACTAATGTCCTGTCTTGTGGTGTGTATGCATAAGTGCACCTGACCTTTGTAACTTTTACTGCCATTGTAAATGACCAAGACAACTTTTTCCCCGTGAGATGAATATAGATGGCCATTGTCATTTTTCCCGCCCCCTCCCCCCCCCCCTCCATCTTAATTATAACAATAATTATCTTTATAATGATGACAACAATGATGATGATAATCATAATATTAATGATGGTATTTATAATAATAGCTGCTGTAGCAAAAGTGATAATAATGACAATAATAATAATAATAATATCATAACAATATTGATTATCATGATGATAACATTAATAATATTATAAATAATAACAATGATGACTAATGCAATTATTTTTATTGATAATGATAGTAATGTAGTGATACTTAATGATAACAACGATGACAGAAATAACAATGAAAATATTACTATGCTTCTGTAAGATGACAAAACTCCTTTTTTAATTTTGGCGCACAAATTTTTTTAATGCCAAACCGAAAGCCTGATCAGTAACCCTTCTTGTGTGAAAAAAATCAAATGGAAACTGACTGGTTTTTTAATGAATTCAAATTCAAATTTCGGAATGTCTATTTTTAAATGAATACGCTGACAAATAACCTCTTTTTCTTGAAACTGCTTTGAAGAAAAAAAGGCGTTTTGTCAGCTTACGGCAGTATGGTAAGTATAATAATTATAACAAATCTGATATTAACAACAGTGGTGATAATTGTGAGTTTTAAAGAAGTTCTATCGAGTATATTTAGTTTTTCCTACTGGGATGTTGTATCCCTCTCTTGCCTGCCTCTTAAATGCTCTAAATTATGCCAATGGCGTCATTAAAAGTCCCCTTTCTCCTCAAGCCTGTCCCTGACCGATGATCCCTTGATTTGAAATCTTCACCCGCACACACTCGCAGGCTCCCTTGCACTCCATCACACACTCTGGGGGGGGAGGGGGGGGCTCTCTCGTGGTCTTGAGGTTTTGTTTGTTTTTGTAAGAGTTTTACGGCTCTCACAACTGCATAATGTCATATGAGCATTAAGGTGTTCGCCTCTCATTCAATTGGACTTGGGTTCGAATCCAGATAGCAATGGAAAATTTTCTTCTCTTAAACTTTCTCCTTTCACAGCCTTTCCTGCTCTCTAACAATGCTCTATTGTCTGCTTTCGTCTCCACTTTCTGCCCCCAGCCCCTCTCCTCTTTTGTCCCCTTCTCTGGGCTCCTTATTCTTTCTGCAGCCTTTCTACTGCTACTACTGGGCTCTTTGTTACTGCTGTCTTTCAGCCACTCCCCTGATTTTATGGTAGGTAAGATCCGCCCCTAGCCTTCTCGGATAAGGGTGAAAAATCTCGGAGATCCAATATGCAAGATCCCTTGGTGGTCCCAAATCGATAATAGTAGGCTTAAGCCGCTACTCAGGCAAAATTCAAAATTTCCTACTTGCTAGAAATGTTTAATGTGTCCCGCGCGCTCATATGACCTTATGCATTTGAGCGCCGTAAAACACTTACCAAAAAAAACAAAACACACTCAGGTGGCCACACACACACAACTCACACGCACACACAACTCACACGCACACACAACTCACACACAACTCACACACACACACACAAACACACAGACGCTCACACACACTCTCACAAGCACACTCACATAAACAATCAAACATACTCTGACTAACACACACACACACAAATGCACACACACTTACACAATGGCATCACACTCTCTGTTGACCCTAACCCCTCAATGCATCTCCTCCTCTCCTCCCCAGACCTCCAGACGTGGGCCTTTAACTTCTTGAAACACAACAAAGAGGATAAAAAGGACAAAGAGAAGATACCGGGGTCGGTGCCCAAACCTCTGCCCACCCCGCAGAACTCGGGCTCTGGGACTAACAACCTCCCCTATGCCTCCAATCCTTTGAGCGGCGGTGGCGGTGCTGGTAGTAACTCACCACCGTCAGCTTCTAGCGTTGATGACGGTACCGTAACTGCTAATGCTGGGGCAGCTGCTACTGTCCCAACGCACTCGTTTGTCGTGTCGCCCGGGGAATCTGTGGTGATTGGCTACTGTGGGAATCTCAGCACGGGCAACAACATCAGCATCAACGTCAGCAGCAACAACAACAACAGCAACAACAGCGAGAGCGGCGGCACTGGAATGGTGGCGTCGGGTGGATCCGGGGGTTCGAATCCTCTGGTGGAGTTTAGTAGTCAGACGTCCAGTGAAGACAGGTGAGAGAGTGTGTGTGTGTGTGTGTGGATAGGTGTGTGTGTCATTGTGGGAAAATTAGTGTTTGGGGTGGGGGTGGGGGTCGTATGTAGGTGGATGTGTGTTTTTGTGTGTGTTGGGAGGAGGTGGGGTGGGGTGCTTTTCTATGTTGGTGTGTACGAGTTGTTTTTTTTCTTTTGAATGTTGGTTTTTGCGTGAGTTTTAATTCTCATCCCACGAAAGGCATTTGTGTCCCAACATGTTGGAATTAAGTGCTCGTCAATTTTTGTACATGCGGAGTTATTGGTATGATCTTGAAGCTTGTGTATTTGTCTTTTTCTGTTTTAAAAAAATTCTCATAGGTCTGGAATAGGAAGTCAAGATGTTTGTTATTGACGATGGTGGGGCTCGCCTGGTGTGGGATGTGGGATCCTTGAAAACTGCATATTTTTAATTTTTGCACCTTTGATGAACATTTTTCTGTAAAATCCACACAGAAATATCTTTTTAAAAGGACAATAAAGGTGCTGAGCCAAAAAAAGATTATTTTTTTTAAGTGCCTCAGTCAGAAAAATTCTAGTTTTTTTTATTTCATTATTTTAATGAGCTCCTGATTTCACCACAATGCCTCACATATAAAAATTTGAGAGGAGAGACCTTCATAGCATTATTTTTATAGCTTAATTGGATGGATTGGAACCTGTGTAGATTCAGAATGGATTTGGTTGTCTTGCCACCCATTCAGTAGTTTGTTGTATTGCCGACTGAGCTAACTGCAAGCCTTGGGTATGTGTTCAAGAGTGCATGATTGTTTAAGTTTATGAGTAACTATTTGTCAAGTGTGTTTATTTTATCAAATGTCTTTTTGTATGTGTGAGCACGCTTGTAGGTTCATAACCCATTATGTTTGTTGATGTTTCAAGGTGTTATTTGCGTGAGAGTGCATATTTTTGCACATTTATCAGCTCTTGCTGTTTTAACGTATGTGCTATTTGTGGATGGTTGGCGGATGCTGTGGTGTTGTTTGCTCCTTCTTTCCCATCAAACATCTGGCATCCTTTATCTCTCTGCCTTCTTTTTTTTGGTGTTTTTTTACTCTTTTGGAACACCTCTCTAATCTGTGTGGGTGGTTGCCGGGTGCTCTGGTGTGGTTTTCCTATCAAACATCTATCGTCCTTATCTCCCTTCCTTCTTTTTTATATTTGTTACTCTCTTGTAACACCTCTAATCTTCTGGCGCTCATATGACCTTATGCAGGTGCGAGCGCCGTAAAACCTCTACTATAACAAAACATCTCTAATCTGTCACACTTTTATAACCTTATTGTGTTGCAAGTCCCATAAAACTTTTACTAAAACTTAACTAAATTCTATAACTTACGTGGGTGGTTGGCGGGTGCTTTGGTGTAGTTTGCTCCTTCTTTCTTGTCAAACATCTATCATCCTTATCTTTCCTTTATTTTTTTGTGTTTTGTAACTCTCTTGTAACACCTCTAATTTTCGGCACATATTTGACCTTATTGTATCGCAAGTGCCATAAAACTCTTACAACTAAACTAAACTGTTTACTGTATGTTTTGCTCTGCAGGTCAGAGAGCCCAGATGACGCCTCCGTTGTCTAGAGACTGGAGTTGAAAAACAGGCAGTTGGGATGGAAGGATTCTCACGCATGCTCCGAGAACTGTGTGTGTGGGTGTATGTGTGTGTGTGTGTGTGTGTATGTGTGTGCGTGGGTGTGTGTGCGTGTGTGTCTGTGTGTAGAATCTGTGTTTTTAGCTGCTTGGAAAACATATCCTCCACACAATACAGAAACTACAGGTCTGCACTGTGTAGCTGCTGTTTTCTCCTTCAACGAATGTCTACAAAGAATCTCTGGGAAACAAGTGCATGAAGCTGAAGTACAATCGAAGCTGTCTAAGATGACCACCCAACGCCGAGGAGAAAAGTGGTCGTCTTAGTCTGGTGGCAGTCTTACACAATGCCATTATAATGTAAAAAAAAAAATACATAAGGGAAGAAATGAGAAGTGGTCATTTGTACAGGTGATTGTCTTATAATAAGTCGCTTTTAAGGACAAGCGGGCTAATCCAGATTTGGGGGGTTTCCAGAAATCTTGACCTGCACCAAAAGTGGGCATTGTATGGACTCTCTAATGATATGAGCAAATAAGGTTGCTGCTTTCCAGTATTATGATGGAGAAGTGCTGACATCATCTCAAGTGATGAAGGTTGAAAACTGGTAAACGTGTACAGAAACTGTGAATTGCTGGTTTTCATGCTGTATGTCACTGATGAGGTCAAGTAAGCCAAGGCTGTGTAATAATGTCAAGATGGAAGGTTGTGAAACTGATTGGTTTTGTTTTTGGTCGTTTTGTGACTAAATTTTTATCTTTGATTGAATGCTAGGAAGTGGGTGGTTGGCGGGTGCTTTGGTGTGGTTTGCTCCTTTTTTCCTATCTTACATCTATCATCTTTATCTCTTTTACTTTTTTTTTTCTTTTTCTTTTGCATGTGTGTTTGTTACTCCCTTGTAACACCTCAAACGTTCGGCTCTTGTATGACCTAATTGTGTTGCAAATGTAAAATTCCAGAAAACTAGGAGGTTAAAATCTTTTTAATTTTTTTTTTTTTTTTACTGCCTGATCTTTGTACAATGTGTTGAATTGGGCATTTGAACACTTTTGATGTTAGGGTTTTGTCTTACGTTCATATGTTGACATTTTAAAAAGTTGAATTCTCTTTTACTTGGCAACAATTTTTGCCTAACCCTTCTAACTTTACTAAATATATTCTGGATTTTTTTTTCAAACTTGACATAATTAGATGGAGTTTGAAAATTGTGAAGTAAATGGAATGTTTCTGAAGTTCTTTACTTTTGCATCAAAGTTGTCAAGAAATTTATTGGTTGAATAAAGCGTACAAATGTTGCAAAAAAGGTGGTACTGAGGGAAACGATTTTGTAAAAGAATTTTGACGTCCACTCGCTCTGTTCAGTTACAGAGTCCTTTATTTTAATATTTTGACTTCTGCTGTGTTGGTTTTGGTTTTGCCAGGGTGCGAGATCGAAGCGACTTCCCCTTATCCTTCCATCTGTTTTGTTTATTTGTTACCTCTTCTAACATTTCTAGTGGGTGGTTGGCGGGTGCTCTGGTGTGGTTTGCTCCTTCTTTCCTATCAAACACCTATCGTCCTTAACTCCCTTTTTCTTTTTTATGTTTGTTACTCTCTTGTAACACCTCTAATCTTCTGGCGCTCATATGACCTTATGCAGTTGCGAGCGCCGTGAAACTTCTACTAAAACTAAAACTAAAACTAAACTAACTTCTAACATTTCTAACTTTAATTGTTCACACTTGTAGTTTCACTGTTGGGGTGATGTGCACATTATTTTCATACGTTACCGTCTGATATAATTGTGTTGAAAGAATGTGTTATTATTCTACTGAGATGAATTCAGAATGTGTCTCTTTTTTTTTTTTTCCTTCTCGTTATGACATCATCATATTGTGTAAAGGTTGATGGTGATGTTCAGAGCTGTGTTTTTACTGTAGAGCTGGACTTTCTTGTCCATGATTCATTTCTCACTTTAGTTATTCACATCTCTATTTTCATTGTTGGGGTGATTTTTACATGTTTCACACGTTGCATTTTGATATAATTTTATTAAAGAATGTGTGGTAATATTTGATAGCTTCAATGGCTTTGTTGCAAGGGTTTTGTTTTTGCTGTCATTGTTGTAGTTTTTGTTGTTGTTGGGTTTATTGGTGTGTTTGTTGATCTGAATTTTCAGCCATCCATGGTTTGATGATTAAGCTCTTTACTATTGCAAACTTAGAATAGGAGTTTGATTCCCACGTAAGGAAATCTGTTAAATTGAATGTATTGGTCTTTCTGCTGATATGTTGTTTTCCCACTCAGCCTGGGTTGGCCTGGAGAGGCAGAGTCAAAGCAACCAGTCTTTTCAACAATCTTTCTTGATAGGTTTCCGTTTTAGTAAGTTTCATAGCCCTTGCAACACAAAAATGTCATATGTGAGGCAGCGTTGTGAAATCAGGCGCTCGTAAAATTTAATGAAATTGAAGAAACTGACATTTTTCCGCCGATTTGGCGATTGTTACAGAATTTTCGTATTTTGGCTCGACACATTTTATGTCCTTTTAAGAACACAAATCTGTGTGGATTTTACTGAAAAACATTGAATAAGGGCACAAAAAAATGTACATGTTCCATTTCCACGGATTCGCAAGCAAATGAAATAACCAAACCTTGGCCTCCAATTTCTCGCTAATTTTACTACTGAAATCCCTACCTCATTCTATCACAAATATCTCAACTTTTATTAAAGATAAATTAGTATTTATTTCTTTTTCACCTTTGAAGTTTGCTGCGCTAGTGTAGTGAGCCGCTCCCAGAGGCTCACCGAACATAAAGAATTAAAGATCTAAAATTGTGTCGATGAAGGTGCAAAAAACACCTAGATTTTTATTTATATATTTAAAAGGTGAGTAACAAAATTAAGGTAAAATGAGTAAGAAACATGAGGTAGCATAAGAATGTAAGAGAAAAAGTAACACAAAAAAGAAACCCTCTCTGATTGAGATATATAGTGCTTTATTCGTATTCAGGATAACTGGGATTCATGGATGGATATCATCTGTATATATATGAATAAACCAGACTGCATGCAAATCGCAACCTTAGAATTACAAAGTTCTATCGGACATTTTTGGCCGTTTTGAGTCACTAAGACTATGAGGTCAGAAAACAAATGTTCTATCTGCTCTATCAAAATCGTAACATTATTCGGGGCTGTTATCATGATATTCATAGAACTGCATTCCAAAAAGCTAGACATGTCGTGAAACTCAACATTTTTTACATCAAATTTCTCACAATAGCAACTGAGCAGATAGAACTTTGTAATTCTGGGGTAGTGAAATCTCACCAAAAGTCAAACAGGGACACACACACACAGGCATTAAGTCCAAGTTGAACTAAAGTGTCACCGCTGACCTTGCAACTATGTTCGTTATTACATGTCAAAAGAAATACAAAGAAAACATCTTTTGTGCTGAAGTGTTGTCAGTGAACCGTGTCCATTTTACAACAAAAGCTTGCCCCTGCATCAGTCTTTCAGTTGGGTTCTGTTAGCCGTGTCAGTCCCCTCCTCCTCATAAAGCCACAAAGAATAAAGTATAGTTTGTATAATTTGTTATATGAAATATTATCAGTCAGGGTTCTCTCACACTCTTGACGGTTTTTGTCATTATAGTTGGTCAACATTTCTCTTACTCTAAACGCATTATATTATTTATTTTTGGACGGTTTTCTTCATGAAAACACAAATAACTATAACTAGGGCAGGAGTTCTTTAGTAACAGTAACTTTAGACCTACCAAACAGGCAATTCTTTTCTGAACAAAAATGAGTACAAAGTGCATGTATATTTTTTTCCCCGTTGATTTAACAAGCTGATGATTGGAGGGCACCACTGGTAGGTCCAACTTTTTCATTTCCCCTGTTGTTTCTAGCTGTCTGTCTTACTTTTTCCCAGTATATTATGTGCTAAATTTAAACAATTTTGGCTTTGAAAACCGTATGAGGAGTAGTGATCTACACTCACGTGCTGAACACAATGCAATTTGTAAGCGAAGCGAGGTGTAAAATATATTGCATATAAAGGAAAAAGCTAAAAGGAATGTGGTTTCTCAGTCTGCCAATTCTTTGAGCTGACCAGTACCAACATAAAGACTGATGCAGCTGACATTGAGGATTAGAACATGCGGTCACAGGATTAGAACATGCGGTCACAGTCCTGAAACTACAGAAAAAGTTCAGTAGAATTACATGTAGTAATTATACCAGTCGAGTAAACATAGCTAGTCATCTTTACTTTGGTCTAAGAAACACACTCCAGTCACATTGTGATTAGTAAATATAATCTTTTGGCACACACAGAGGCCTTCTACAGAACCATGAAATATGGAACCAGTGTCGGGGAAGCTACAGTGTAAGGCCCTTCATCACTGCATGCAAGTGACACAAGTTCCATTCTGAAGTGTGGAAGTTGAATTATTGATTATCTCTGTCCTTCTGCTGAGGTAGTGTGGTGGAATCAGGCTCTCGTCAATTTTTGAGCACGTAGAGTTATTGGTATTGTCTTAAAGTTTGTTCCTTTGTCTTTATTTGGATGAAAGAAATATCCATTTACCTTGAATACAAGTCGAGATATTTGCGAAAGAAGGAGGTGAGGGTCACCTGTTTTCAGAGGTAAAATTAGTGAGAAAATAGCCGCCAAAGAATAGTTATTTCCTTAGCTTAAGATTCCGTGGTAACTGAAAACTTTCATTCTTTGTGCCTTTAATCGACGTTTTTCAGAAAAATCCACACAGAAATGAGTTCTTTATTAATGGGCATGAAAGGTGTTGAGCCAAAAAACAAAAAATTGATAAAAATTCACAAACCTGCTGAAAAATGCAAGTTTCATTACTTTGATTATTTTGACGAGAGCCTGATTCCACCCCGCTGCCTCACATATATATATCCCACTCTACAAGGTAGTTTCTGACAGGCAGCAGCCCACTCTCTAAATAATCTCGAACAGGGGCATAGCACATTTATTATCATACTTGCTCTGTATAAGCTTACTACCAACTATGCACCCCTGTCAAGTCACCATTTACTGTTGTTTGGAATACACAGACATTCCACAGAACCATGCCCACCTCCTAAACGATCTAAATTCTGACATTGCGGGCATAAAACACCTATTCAAAAAAGAAAAACGAAAAAAAACCCAAACGCATCGACATAGAGGTATAGAATGGAATACACACATTCTAACTTCAACACAAAAAAAATAGCAGAAATAGTAACACCATTTGTATCTTCTCCTATTCTGTAACATACTGCTCCCACTATGATCTGAACGTTCAGACATTCCAGCTCTCAGTGATGTAAGAGCATAAATGTCTGCCTCATAGTCCTGAGACTTCAAAGTTTCATATTCGCCACTACAGGGACAGGTAAAAAAAAAATAATTTCATACATGTCAACACTAATACTATACACTCAATACAGTGTACTTTATCTTGCACATATGGGACTTTTCGTCTACAAAAGCAGCTGCTTTGTCTCACATGGAAAACAGGTTAGGATATGCCTCAAATTTGGATGTTTATAATTTTTAAAAAACTTTTACAAATAACTCATGTGAAATTGAAGCCATAGCCTCCAATTCTCCTGTTCTCCAAGAATGCAGTGTTTTGGGGGAATTTAAATTTTTAAAATTTCATTGAATCCCCAAATAAATGTAGATTATATCATCTACTAAATAAATATGAACCTCAAACAAAAATGGCAAGCACTATTTTTTAATTTTAAATAAAAAAGTGCTTTTTTTTTTTTTTACTTTACTAGACTAAATGGACTAATTACTTTCGATATTATTCATATATGCTACAAATTACAAAAATTGGTGGGGGGGGGGGGGACACAACTTTGTTTTGTCTAAAAAAGGCAGTTCACATAGAATAGACAAAACTTCATAAACTCGTCCTCTGACATTTTCTTGTAGCCATCTTGGGAAAAAAAAGGGGAAACACTGCTCGTCTGACATAGACGACGCTTTGCACCGTTGTGGAATCTCTCAGCCGTATCTGGCAAGCGCAGGTTCAAAGAGCTCAGACTTATAAATACTTTGATAAAATTATATTTATACAAACCACTGCCTATAAGATGATACAGAATCTTATAGTGTGGGTGTGCACGCATCTTTTACTGAGTGTAGTGTAAGTGAGTGTGTGCTAGCAAGGATCAGTAGCAATCTTTTGTGCATCAACTTATTTTCAATATAAAAATGAAAAGAAGTCACACAATAAAAAAGCTACCAAATAAGACCACCACTAAGGCAGTTGCCATTCGAAAGGAAAGTGAATATCTAAAAGTACAAAAAGAAACAGCATAAACACACACACACAAGAAGTACAAATTGGAAAATCGAATGAACACATTTGAAAACCAAAAAAGTACAACAGGTAACGGTCAATTTCTGAGGGCTGCCATTTTATGCAGTACAGTACAGAGAGGACAGATTATGTGTAAACTGTCTTCATTGTGGCATAAAAACACATACATTTTTTTTTAAAGGAGAGAGAACAGCTGGAGATACAATTTAACCTGCAGGTGGTGGTAGATTTTACTTTTTTTCTTTCCCTTTTCTTGTTTCTGCTTATTTTGCTTTTCTGTCTCAGCATTAGATTACTACAATGACCAAGTCGATGAGCTTCAGTTTCCTCAAAAGAAAATGATCCCTCACATTCTCCACTAAAGGGCTGCTATTGTGTCAATGTACTTATTTTAATTTTAAAACAACTCAAACTGAGTGAAATATATTTCATTTGTTATCAAAGCACTCTCTTTGGGCAGATCTTCTCTCTATTTCCAACAGCTACTTCAAAGGATGCTTTGGGCGTGTGGTGTTGCTGAAGAAAATATGTTTACAATCCTTGCTAGATGCTCATGGCAGTGAACTTGCTTTCACTTTCAACAATACAGACCCAGCACAGACTCCCTTGCCTTTCCTCTCCCACATTCCCTACTTTAATTTCAAGCCATCCAAAGCAATTTGTAAGAATTAAGAGTGAAATAACAATAATTTTAAGTGTTTATATCTATCAATGTTTATATATATACTTTTGTGACCTGAGACATGAAAAGGTTGAAATAGAAGGAAATTTAGAAATCTGAGTTAAGATTATTTTACATGTATCTAATAAACATAGTTGGAGAATATTTGGTGCACATACAAAGCCGATGTATCAACAGTTTTTAAAAATTACATCTATATGCAACATACACTTTTTTTTAAACCATCTATTTTGAAAAGAAAGGCTGCTTATTTTTAAATTTCAAGAAATGTTTTAAAAACTGTTTTTCAAAGACCAAAGTCTGGACATCAATTTCATATCATATAACCTACTGCCTTCTAAAAAAATTATTTAAAAAAACAACCCATAAATACTTCAAACACTATCCAAAAATTCATTGTGTACATGCACACAGATGGATAATGAACAAAATTCAAATTCAAATTCAATTTTTACATAACTTTGACTCACCCCGGTCATCTACCTTGGCCGATTATGGAGAGCTAGGTCCTGTATTTTTACTCAAAATTTGGATATCACAAGTCACATACCAATATCATGTCACAAAATTAAGCTCAGAAAAGAGATATTTTCTGTGTTGAAAATACAAAATCTGTAATGTACTTTCCTCGTTGACAAATACAGGTGCGGAGATGCGTCTGCTATACGTCTGAAGAAATTTCTCTCATCTGTGCGATATATGTTACTTGGTTGCAAGACTAAAAGAAGTTTTACATTTGTAATACCATAAAAAAATAATTCTTTTAAGCGTCACAGTGATACAAAGTATTTCTAATCAATCACAGATGTCAAACGTTTGGCTGAGATTAAATCACAAACCATCCAAGAGATTATATTTAGGATTAAAACCAAGAATACAGAGACTTCAATTCTTACGTTCATACTCTTTTTCTTGTGCCTAAAACTTGCACCGTCTTTTTAAGACAATGATCAAAGAGATACCTCCGTGCTATGACGGAAAAGAGAAATCTAATCTGACCAACTTGCAGCTCAGCTTTAAGAAGAAACAGCAAAACAAAAATCCCATTTACTCCAACTTTCAAGATGACCCTCTCTTTTCCTGCTCACACCAATCCATGATGGTGCCACACAAATTCAATAGACTTTCCCCCATTGCAAACCCTAGATAATCACTATTTAAAGCAAGCTACTCAAACAAAAAATGGCAAAATGACTACAGCTATACGTGTGTATTACGTCAAACATCTATCAACCCATTACAAATTGTATCATATGAAATCTGTAGCTACAATAAAGAGCACAACATTAACCTAAGTCAATTTCCCAGTAAATAAGGCGAATGAAAACGACCTCAACTGAACCATTATGTATATATCTATGAAAAAGTTGGCTTAGAAGGAAGGCGCAATAGATAATTGAGATATAGCTCTTTTTTGATTAAAGTTTGATTACATTATACTTAACATAAATATTTCACATCTTTTTGTGTCATTCACTTGACAAACTGGTCCCTTACTTCATCTGAAGTCACAGATACAATATACTGCAATTCTACATTGGTTCAGTTCAGAATCAGCACTAATGATGACAGCAAAGACGGTGCCCTACACGCTGGTTCATTCTCTAAAATTAAAAATGGATCCTTGGCAATCAACTCACCATGATATTATCGATGTCAGCACCAGTGCTGATTTCATTCCTCAAAAACTAGCTCCATACACTATAACATCACTCCAAGAAATGAGTACCAACTGCTATTAAAAAAATGTTGTCATCAGTATTTTTAACTTTTTTTCTTTTTTTTTTTAGTTTCTGAAATAGAGGAGGAAACCATTTAGCAGTGCAGAAACTTCAGAAATGTTTTTAAAAACATTGGGCAGCTTCTTGCAGCTTTAATCAGTTTAGTCACTTGTGACAATAACTCTCTCCATATCGAAAACAATGATGCAATTACAGAACATACTTCATAGAATCATTAAAACCTCTTCACATTCACAGTGTGCCGATGATAGTCCAAAACAACAAACTCATTTTTAACAAAGAAACAACTTCCCTGAGTGACAATCAACTGATACACTACACTGAGCCTGGACACAACTCTTGCAACATGCACGCACACATGAACGCATGCATGCACACACACATACACACACACACAAACACATGCAAACATGAACATACACGCAAACACCTGGAGCAACAAATATGAAGTGCAAATCGCTTAATTTAAACAGAAAACGATTAATCAGAATAATATAGTGATAATACGGAAGAAGAAGGAATCCTTTTTTTTTTGTTTCTTGAAATTTAAACAACAAAAGACAGCACGTTTTTCTCCTGCCCCCGTTACAGAAGATTAAAAAAAAAGAAGCCATCAAGATATGAAGGAAGAATTATTCGAGTAAATTTTTTTAGCATTCTCTCTCTCAAAAACAAAGATACGACTAGATCTACACCAAAAAAAATCTGATGGTTCTGCAGGCTTCAGTTTAAGTAATCTACACTGTTTTTCTGATACAACAGAAAGCCTCCCACCATTTTAGACTATCAAGAAGGTAGAAATCAGGGTGTATTAGCCGAATACATAATTTTCCTTGTCCTTTTCATGTCATCCTTCCACATTCGTAGATATCGTATATAATTCTATACTTGTGACTCGGGATATTGATATCGATTACGACTGAAAAGCCGATTTGAACCAAATCTTAAGTGTAAAATTATCTGATGCTAAAGTGAAGCTAACATAATAATTAAAATTTCAAAAGAAAAATTTCAGCCATTTATATATCGGCGAGAATGAAAAAAAACCCAATTCAAGATAACTGATACCATTGCTTTTGGACAACATGTTCGAGTATGCTGCCTTTTAAAAGAAATTGTTAGAAAAATATAGGCACTTCCAATTTTATCTAAATATTCATTACATATACACACAAATGGAAAAGGTGTTCATATTCAAATTTCAAACCTAATTCTCACACGACTCAAATGTAAGTGCTCATCCATTCTGACCTTTCAATATCTCGAGTCACATAAATATGTTATATACGCTTAAATCTACACATAATACAAACAGTACACTTTTCGCTTGTAATGTAAGACAAATAAGAGTTGACAAACAATAAGGCGGTTTGTCTATTGATTGATCCGTACCTCCATCTCACCCCTTTCTTTTTCTTTCATATATATAAAGACACATCACATACCAGTGGTCTTTATTCTCCCTGTTGTCTTTTAACTTTTAGCTACTCTTTACTAGTCAAGAAGGCAATTCACTTTTCTGAAACCCCTTTTCGCTGCTTCTCTCACACGCTTACAATCAGTCACATACACATTCTCGTTAATTTTTATTGCTATTTTCAAGCAGCAGGAGAAATCATAATCACAGTGCACAAAACACATATGCACACCAACACATATGCACATCAACACATATGTGCACATTTCTTTCAATCAAATTCAAACATGTATCTAAGATCACAAATTCATTTATAAGACATGAACAGAAAGGCTAATATTCGATGCACAAAAACCATAAACATTCTGCTCTTCTGCTCTCTCATAATCACACTCGAGATCCTCGGAATTTCTGCGACATTCCTGATATGTGCAAATGTCAGAGTGGAAACCAAGCAACAATAATTCAACACTGGTACACCATAGTATATGAAGGGCCATGTAACATAATTATTCATCTTCTCCCTTTGGATCGCTCGTTGGGTCCATGATATCTAATTTTTTAATGTTTTTGAAATATTTTTTTCACAAAAACTGCAGAAAAAAAAGACTGTACTACCATACTCCGTTTCAATTTCGCTTTCTTTAACAGTATACTTTGAATCACACAATCAGGTTTTTCTACATTTTTCACGTTTAGGAGACACTGCTTTTTTAACCAAAGCCCTTCATATGACCTGTTTAACACATGTTTAGCACTCTGACATATTATATATAAAAGGAAACAATAAGAAAAAACAACAACAAACAAACCAATCCAGGCAACATAAACAAACAGGGGTGGTGGGCAAAAACAATGATTATACGTCAAACAATATTTGATATTATGAATAGGATAGCTGCCTTTCTCATAACAGAAGACTTGTGAAAGATATATATATACGTATATATATCTGTAATATACTGTTTATTTACACATACAAAGTGCCTGTGATGATAACAAAAGGGAAAAAATATGCACTGCTTTGACTGCATCACCAACCAAATGAAAGCAGACAAGCAAATCAAACACACACGTCTCACAAGCATACCAGGACCTCTGACTCAGGCACTGCTAGCAGCAGGTTGTACACATCTGCTAAATCATTACCACAGCACAGACCTTCGTGCGGATACCATACAAAGTAAGCAATCCTTTAGCCAAAATAGACCAGTTCAGACGTACTTGACCAAGTCGAGGAATCCTCTCTTCTACTCTGCTCTCCTCTACACCCCCAAAACCAACAGCCGCCTCCCCCCCCCCTCCCCACACACACACACCCATTAACATTTTTTAAAAAGGCTTATAATTTCAAATCATGGAACATTAAAGTTTAAAATAGTGGATCAAATTAATTATACCTCATAAGCAATTTTTTTTAATGCAGCAAAGAAAATCTCTTCAATTCCATATCAAAGAAGCTTAAGAGGTCTTAATTTTCACTTGCTGCAGTAACATACTCATGTATCTTTAGAAATAAGAGGCAAAATTCGAGTTAAAAATAGGACAAAAATTCTTTACCTAAGATGCCGTTTCAAAAACAGCTTTCCTACAAACTGTTTCCCTTCATTCTTAAACAAATAAGGGGCAAAACCTGTGTGCATGCTTGTGAATTGAGCAGCTTTTTTTTTTGTCCCCGGAAAAGTAATATTTCACAGGTTGGCCATTTTGAAAAAGAAACAGTCAGTCCAGCATTACTAAAAAAAACCCACCAACTGACAATTTAAGCACAAAAGTTCTCTCTTAAGCACAAAAGTCTGTTCAACAGGAAACAGAGGCCTATCAATATACTCTTGCATCTGAAAGGATAAGGACAACGAACTTGCCAAATGCCCTATGAGTGTACAACAAGCCTAAAGCAAACAACATCGAGATCTCATCAATCCACATGTGCACACACACATACAATCTTATACACTTATTGCCCATAAAATATTTAATCTCGTCTTGATTTATACTAGATAAGAAAAAAAAAGAAGTAGTAAAAAATAAGTAAAACCATCAAAAAGAAGAAAAGCTGAGCTTTGAGAGACAAACTCACTCCAAACGTACAACGGGTAAAGCTACGAAGTCTCTGGGCTGAGAAATACAGCCACTATAACATGGCTGAGCTGAACCGCTTTGACCCCATATATAAGTCCATAGTGCATCATAAATATGAGGTTATCGTGTTGTTACTGAGTATCTCCATAATAAAAAAAACCTCTATAGTAGTAAGTTCATGAGAATATCGCCATGCATAAATACAGTTATGTGCCCTTTCCAGTAAACTCGATACAAATTGAAAAACAGCAAAATTGAATAATAATACAAGGAAGCAACAGGAAAGTGAAAAGCATGCTCAGACACAAAAAGTCTGCACAAGAACTCACAGATGCTCAGAGCTTACATATAAATTTAATAATACCAGAATCCAGCCGTCAAGTATCACATAGACCGACGAGACGGACAAAAAATAAAGATAGTTTTTAGTGACAAAAATATGCATTAACATAAATCCTTCCAGTCTCAAGACATAGGACAGATGATATAATCTGTCATAATCCTCTGCATAAAATACAACATCATTTTTTTTCTTTGATTGTCTACAGCAAGTTCCATACACGACTGTTTCAAAAGCATTTCTTCTGCTCTTCATTTTTCAACAAAACTCAGACCTTGTTCTTTACTTGGTGAAGCCGTGAGAGCTTGTCTTGGCTCTTAATTTTTTTTTTTCTCCACAAAGAATCTCAGAAGTACTTTGCAAGACATGAATCAAATAGCAAATTCCAATTTGATTGTCCAGGGCCCTTGATATCTTAAGAAATATAGAAGAGAGAGAAAAAACCCAACAAAATAGCAGGAAAAAAACGACCGGAAAAACAAAATCAACTTTTCAGTCACAGCCAAACTTTTCACTTATTCTAAAGGGAAAAAAAAACGAAGAAAACTTTTCATGGAAAATTTCAACATTACATTACCTTGTTATCTGCTACTACCACTACACTGCTTTTGGAGAAAAACCCCCCCACTAAACTAGCCGAATTAATATATTATAATATTATAAATTTCTCCAAAGAAAGGTTGAATAGCCAGACCATCTCATTATCCTTTCCATCAGACCTCTATCATACTCTATGCCTAGAGAAAAGAATACAACAACAAATAAGCCTTGCACATAGACACAACGCTGGGTACAAAGGCACTTTGACTGACATCACAGCAGTACGTGTCAGCAACGACACAGTTAACTGAAACTACACAGCAAGTAGTGCCAAAATTTTATATGGTAACTCTGAGAAAGGGAGACATATGACACTGATGACAGTACGCTTATATCATATCACCCCCCCCCCCCCCCCCCTCCGCCCCCGTCCAAGACAGCAGATAATCAAAAGATTTCATCATAAAAAGCCATGCATTGCTTTGCAGACACAAACCTTTCAACTCTTAAAGCCAGGAAATGTCCAAGTCATTACACACAGTCTTGACATGACGATACAGTTTGTCTCTAAACTTTCTTCCCTTTTTCTTACTCACAGATAAACTTATAACAGAACCTGTGAGTTAATAGCCAGAGGCATGTTCCAAAAGCTTTACAGCACATAAAATGGAGGCCAATTGGTTGGAATATAAAGTTTAAATAAGATGCATGATGCATACATCTATGCAATTTTCCAGCACATGAAATTCTGTTATATCCAAAGCTTCTTAAGAAATTACATACATTGATATTTTTAGTAAAAAGGTATTTTTCTACATCATTTGATAAAATGACCAAAAAGAGATTTTCCTGATAACCATTAGTGTTTCATGTACTTAAAGAACAACTTTCATTTACAGTTGGCTCAATGCACAAGACTTGTCACGGCAAAGAAGTCATCCTTTGTTTGGCTAGTGACTTTCATTCTCTGAAGATAAAGGGTTGGGCTTAAATATCAGCTGTGATTTCAACAAAGCAATTTCCCATTAAGGGTAATACATTTTCAATCAATACAAACCATCTTAATCTTCAGACGCAGAGCCCCTCACGCAGCATCAACCCAATGCATTGGGTCAGTTCTGTCGAGAGCAGAATCATCCCCTCTCTCTCACTCAAATCACTTTTTCTGCCAGAGCCTACCACGTCGCGACCGGTGCGATACACCACCACTGTCTGAGTACTGTGATGCCGTCTCGAAGTTGAGACCACCACCACGGCCGTTATGCTGAGAGTGAAGAATGCCAGTATCAGACAGCGTAGATACCCCTCGCCGTGGCCTCATGTGCGCTGGGACGACGCCCACCTGACCACCGTCCACAAATGGGATCGCAAATTTGGAATAATTATCGAAATCGTTATTGTACGTGAAAGCGCCATTGCTGGCTTTCTCCCTGGACTGCAGGATCCGCGGGAGAGCCGTCCGGCTGCTCAAAGGGAGTGAAGTCCCCGACAGTTCCATCATTGGCTGGATGTTCTTCTCAGCCACCCATCTCGACGCTTCGGCTACCGCAGCTGCTGCCAAGGTCGTGCCCTTCACTTGTAACGGCTTCAGCTTCCGCGGGCTTTTCTGCACACCTTTGTTGCTGCTGCTCAGCATCATACTGGATACAGATGCCGTGGAGTTCTCTCTGAAATAGCCAACATCTCCGGCCGCTATCGCAGCGGCTACTCCCCACTCTTCCTCACTGTCGCTGGTCACACCCCAGATCGTCTCCCCTGCCAGTGATTTGGTCCGATTCCTCTTCTTTTGTCGTTTCCGACTGCCTCCTTTTAACTGACCCTGAGGTCTGGAGAACTGAGAGCTTGAGATACGAGAGGAGAAAGACCTAACACCTGGTCGCTGTGGCTCTTTCACACCCGACTTTTTCGAATACGCACCGGCAGCAATGTTTTCTTTCTGCTTCTTCCTCACTTTCTCCCCACTCATTGCCTGCCTTAAGGCCATCTCCACCAGACGAGTGTCTTCCACTTGCTGGGGAGGTCTCTTGGAAATGTAAAACATAGCCTGCCGCATCAAATCATGGGAAAACGGCGTTGACATCATGTCTGCCGACAGGTTCTGAGCACTTCCCTTGCCGTTGAGGAAGCTGCCACCCGTACCTCCCACAACCACATCCCGTGAGTGGTTTGAATTGAGCGAAGGTTTCCTGCTGCCTGCGGTCCATCTGGAATGATAATGGAGAGCATCCGAGCTGCTGCTGCCGTCAATCAAATCTTCTTTCCCGTCTTGAAGGTCTGTCTTGCCTTTCGACTTGAGCTTTTCATTCAGGGTCGGGGGTTTCGGGAAATTAAAGGTGTTTGCGGAGGAAGAGTTGTTCAGTTGGTCCATAGTTTTGTCGGAGAGCGTGTTGAGGCCCAGGAGGATAGCCGCGTCCCCTGTTGTCTGCGGGACCGACAGAGTAGACTTGAAGAGAACGACCACCACCGAGATGTTGTCGGAGGATCCCGCGTCCCGCGCCGCGTTGACCAGCCCGATGGCCACGTCGTCCAGTCCTCCGGGTGAGCTGTGAGAATGTTTGTAGACCACTTGTGTCACCTGGGGGAGAAGACAACCAGTGGGGAAGGACATCCGTTTAGTTTTAGTAAGCGTTTTACAGCACTTGCGACATAATTAGGTCATATAAGTGCCGAAGATTAGATTTGTTGCAAGAGAGTAACAAACAAAAAAGAAGGAGGAGAGATAAGGAAGACATATGTTTGATAAGAAAAAAGCAGCAAAATAAACCAGAACACCTGCCAACCACCTGTGACGGATGTCATTAACTTTAGAAGTTACTCAGGAAAATCCAAATCTTCAAGTTCAAACGAAACACCTCAAGCATAAAATAATCTTGATACGAAACAGAACAGGAAAACTGAAATCTTGAAGTGAAAATGCCCATACATAAAAAAAAAGGTGTTTTAAAAGTTCAAGAAAAGCCAAATCTTAACTAAACATAGCTCTGATGACAAGAATGTCCTGAACAAAATTCCAAAAGCAACTGTTAGTCATAACAGAGTCCCCCTTTCCTAAGCATGGCCACTTCATGAGGAATTCTTACTTATCACTTTTTCCCTAATTCAACTTATAATATTAATTCCTATGCACATTCTACATCCCCAATCCTTTCATGTTCATGTTGCTTCTTCAATTTTCAGTACTTTGAGGCATACAATTTTGGCCAATATTTGTTACAGTTATAAATGTTTATGTCTCCTCCTTCTTTTCTTTATATGTTACTCTGAAGTATTACCTCTAATCTTAAGGGCTTATATGACCTATTTGTATTTCTTTCAAGTGCCGTAAAACTCTTACGGAAACTAAAACACTTTGAGAATCTAAAATCGAGTCCTGCAGAAATGGGGAATACCCATCCCTAGGGATACAGCTCAGTGTGGACAACTCATCCCAACTAAATCCCTCCCCCCCCCCCCCTCCCCCCTCTTTCCCTGCCCCACCCTCCATCTCATCCTGTCACCCGATCTCCTGGCTCACGTACCTCAGCAGGGGAGAGCACATCCCAGAGTCCATCACAAGCCAGCACCAGATACTCTTCCTCACCGGTCAGTGTGACCGTGGTCACATCCGCATCACTGCAGATGAAAGGCTTGTGGGGGGCATCGCCTGGCCACAGAGAAAGCAGAAAAGATTGACAGGGTTTTGTTGGGGTTTTTTTGCTTTGCCGGTTATGTATCAAGGTTACAAGACAATAACTATCATTCTCAAGGCACAATGTATCTTTGCTGGTTATAATAATTACTGAATATGTTTTATATATATATGAAAAAATATATCACTGTAACTTCAGATATTGTAATACTGGTTATAATAATTACTGAATATGTGTTATATATGAAACTATATATCACTGTAACTTCAGATGTTGTAATAACACAGTTTCCTGTGCATGCTATCCAGGACTCGTAAAGGTACAGCTGTGGATTTGTACTTTACTGCCTGTTGCCACCATATCAACCACATACCTCCAAAGAAGGAACGGGATAAGACATGCACAATAAAAAAATAAAAGGAGGAGACAACCCCCCCACCAACCACACTTCTTCATCAATTAACACCGGCACACACACAATCTTAAACACCTCTTTTCTACACGAGCATCACGTTCACTATGACGTTAAAAATTGTTACGATCAAATTTCTGGACCCACTGTAATGTTTTACACGAGAACTCAAGACTCTCAAATCTGTGCAGAAGTGGACTGACCAATTGCCCTGGACACGGAGATGTTTCCATTGACTCTCCAAGCTCCGAAGTAGAGGACACATCCTCCCAGGTCCTCAATCCTGCGACGTTCATCCTGAAGACAGAAACAAGATCATGATGAAGAACAGTAGACGTTCATTGTGTACGAGATTGCTTCTCGCTCTCATTAAAATATGTACAAGACAAAAAAATAATAAAACAATGATAGTCATGCATAACAAGTTAAGAAAAAGAAACCAACCTCACAACTCCCACCCCTACCCACCGCCACAACCAATATGGCTAAATTTTCCGGACATATTGTTTTTAACACATTATTATATTATTATTATCATTATTAATAGTAGTAATATTATTAATATTATTATCATTATCACTTTTATTATCATTATTATTTTTGTTATTATTATTATTATCATTACCTCTCTCTCTGGCTTGTGAGGGTTCATAATCTGCAGGGGCTGACCGGCCCTGACCAGCAGAGCCTGTGAGTCCCCCAGCCAGCCCAGGTACAGATGTGAGTCTCGGATCAAAGCTGACACCCCAGTTGTGCCACAGCGCAAATTCTGCAAAGTTAAAAAAAAAAAGTAAACAACATGCATGAGACAAATAGTTTATTCATAGAAATACAATGCAGCCTTCCTATAACGACCTTCAATACAACGACATTCTCAGTATAGCGACATGGTGCCCAGGTCCCGACTTTTCCTTATATATATCATTAGTAATAGTTTCGGTTGCCACTCTATAACGACATTTCTTTCTAGTCCGAACGATGTCGTTATAGAGAGGCTGCACTGTAGCAGCAAGAGTTGTTGCTTCCAAATTGTTTTAAATGGCATATAAGATAAAAGAAAAAAGTGACCATGCTCAAGAAAGTTGTCAAAAAAAGTTCTCAAATTTGGATAAAGGATACAGAAGATTAGACAAGTCATATATCTTAAAAGTCTCAACCCATATTTCCCCGCTGCTGACAAGAAACGTCATTTCATGGTTTGTAATACGTAGTTCTAATCACTGCTCCATACATTAACTCTCACACTCACAGTAAAAAAAAAACCTTCGTATCTTATTTTTTTAAATGCTGTTTGGTTCAATTCTTTACTATAAATTTTGAAATTTCAATCTTTACAGTCATGAAAACAGATATAGAAAAAAATACAAGTACAAAAGAAAAAGCTGAAGCAATAATACATTATCAAAAGTCTACATTTAGAAAGCTACTCTAAGCCATTACACCCTGCCGAAGTCTCACCTCCCTAGCGGCTTTTTCCAGGAAGCGCATGTCTGTCATTTTGTATGCCTGTTTCATCGCAGAGGCAGGGTCAAGGTCAAACTGGCCATCGCGGACCAGGTGCATGTGTAGATGAGTGGCGGCGTAGTCGGCTGCCTCCAGACCTCCGTGACCATCAAACACGGAGAAGTAGGCCTGGCTCGGGTTATCCTGGAACAGAAGGAGAGATCACGACTGAAACCTTTTCTTTGATTGTTCTTTTTTTTTTTTTTAACGCTTTTAACTTGGAACAAATTTCCTTTGTCTGAAACAGATGTGGAAAGGTCATAATAAGGAACCATAGAAAAGTAGGACAGGCCCAGGTTATCCTGGACTAGAGAGAACACAAGACTGGAACTTTTCTTTTAATGTTCTTTTTTCTTTTTTTTTTAAAGAATGTTTTCAACCTAACTCATTAAACCCAGCAGCCGAAGCTTCTTTTCAAAAGACGACAGATTGTTGCCAGCGGACAATGTTAACCAGGTTGATGCACACAGATCTAAGGATTTTCTCTTCTAAACAGCTATGAACGAGAATTAAACTTTGTGCGAAGCTTCCCCGAAGAAAGCTACATTCCTTTGTCTTCACGTTTGTGTCCGTTCTTTGTCTTAAGTCAAAGTATGTGCTGTGAAAGTAATCGAGTTGAGTTATAAAAATAGCTTTTTCTTCTTTAATTTTGTCAAACTATGAAAATCAATTCTGAAGTCAATTTCCTTTGGCCGAAATAGATGTGGAGGGAACAATATTGAGGTCATAATAATGAACCAATGGAAACAAAACAAAAATTATATACGCTAGAGGTGTCCCTATCTGCAAGGACTGAGCCAAAGGGTGAGGAGAGTTGAAACCTCTATAAAAGCCCCTTAAATTCTAGAGCACTTCACAGGGGATTTGAACCAAGATCAACCACAACTTAGCCCAGTAAGATACCAACGGAGATAATGGCATGACTTTTTCCAGGTGCAAGTATTCAGTTCATCCTTTCGCATCTTTCCTCTCCCTTTGTAGACTAAGAGAAAAGACACAGTATGTCTAATGGTTGGGGGCCACAACAGTTATTGGGAAGATGTGTGAGAATTCAGAGAGAAATAGACCTACCTACTTTTACTTTTACTTCCTCTGTTGCCGTTAGGCATCAAGGGGAGATGCAGTTTTCTACGGTAGGCAAGCTCCGCAGCTCTTTCAGTTGTGATATGTTTTCTTGGGGTTTCCTTGACACCCTCAATCCCCCTTTTGAGAGGCCTTCCTTTTCCTTTATAGCCTGAGTGCTTGGTGTTGTAGACTCTCGAGGCTGGCTGGCCAGGTGACATACGTAACAGGTGTCCTAACCATTTCATTCTCTATCTTTCTATGTAATGCAAGCAGGACTCAATGCTGATAGCTGCTCTTACTTCTTCGTTTCTCTGCCTGTCTCGTCTAAGGGCTTTGCAGAGACATTTCGTTTCACATGCGGTGATTTTGCTTTCATGGGTTTTACTTAATGTCCAGGTCTGGTACTGGTAGCATAATGTTGGTATGAATATTGAGATGATACAGCTACCATGTCTACAAAAAAAGACTTCAATGTACAATCACTGCCCTACCTTGAGGTCAAAAAGTGAGTTGAGATCATTCATGATGACGTGCCGATCCTCCATCTTGCGGCGCGTGTTCTTGATGGCATGTGCGCACACGTGCAGGGAGGTGGGTGGGGTCAGGAGGTTGGGCGTCGCCCGTGCCCACTCTTTGACCACAACATGAACGTGGGAAATGACCTCCTGCAGGAGCTTGCTGGCATAGAGTTCTGTAAGAGAGATGGTACACTCTCTTAGTACACACCTATTATCACTGTTTATGTTTCACAGCCGCATAGACACAATATATGAATTTATATCAATGGGAAGCAAACTGACTTCTTTCAGTAAGCGTTTATGGCACTTGCAAGACAATTAGGTTAGGTCATATCAATGCCGAAGATTAGAGGTGGTTACAAGAAAGTAACAAACACAAAAAAGAAGGTGGAGAAATAAGGACTACAGAGTATGTTTAATAAAGGAAAGAAGGCGAAAAACCATACCAGAGCACCCACCAACCAACTATGACCCTGCCTGTCAAAGCCAACCAGGGCATACAGCATACCCTATCAGACAGGTGAATATTGTATCGAAACCTTTCATACTCAAGAATTGAACTCACATCATGTACGTGCAACAGAGCACAGCTTGACCAATACATCACTGATGCTAGAGTTCAAGCAGTGTCACCTTCAATCAAATTTTAAATGGTCAGATGGTTAAAATCCTTTAAGAACAAAGAGTGTAAAATTTCCAGCTTTAAAGAGAACAGACAGCACTATCACAAAAAAATATGTGATTCCTTTTGCAAAACTAGAATTGGAGCACAACTTTAGACTAAATAGTCTGGGCTTTTTTTAGGAAGAGTTTTACAGCAACTTGTAACACAATTAGATCATATAATTGAGTGCCAAAGATTAGGAGAGTTACAAGATGGCACCATAAAAATAAATAAAGGAGGAGAGAAAAGGACAAAAGATGTTGGATAGGGAGAAGAATCAAACCACACCAGGCCACCAGCCAACCACCAACAACAGAGGAAATGGGAAGCAACTGTTTGTACAAGTGACTGTCTTATTATATGGATGGTCATTACAGAAGTAGCTGTTTGAACAGGTGGTTGTCTTATTATATGGATGGTCATTACAGTAGGTTCGACCATAATCAAAAGAATGTAAAACAAAAAACGAGAGAAAAAAATCAGTCACGTACGAGGTGGGTTGGAATTGTTGAGGTTATCACTGCTGGTGCTGCCTTGGCTGTTGTTATCACAATCCACGTCATCATCGTCGTCGTCCTCGTTGCTGCTGTCTTTGTCATCCAGCTCGATGTAGTAGTCCGGGAGGTTCAGGCCGGCCTGGAGGTTCCGGTACACGGCCCGCGACAGCTGCGGCAGCAGGCCATTGGGACATTCGCTGGAACACACAGGGGGCAGTTTAGCTTAGTTTAATAAGTAGAAAGGTTTTTTTCTAATATGTAAGTGTAGGTGTCAGTAAACCCTATCCGTACGCCTGGGGTCATTTTGTAACCCCGGGGTTGTATTCTTCACATTTTACAATACTTCTAGAGCAAAGATCTCTTTGAAACTTCCAGTATTTCTCAAAAAAGCATTTTGGCAGACTGCTATGCGAAGTGTACGGATCGGATTAACGAGTTAATTTCCTCTTTGGGAAGTGGTGGCACAGAGCCCCCCCCCCCTCCCCCAATTGACACAATTACGAAGGCGAGTTTCTGACCCTGGCCTGTCAATATCAACCGGGGATGAGAGAGATACAACATAACAGCTTTTAGTTTAGTTTTAGTAGAGGTTTTACGGCACTCGGAACTGCATAAGGTCATATGAGCGCCAGAAGATTAGAGGTGTTTCAAGAGAGTAACAAACATAAAAAAGAAGGAGGAGAGATAACGACGATAGATGTTTGATAGGAAAGAAGGAGCAAACCACACCAGAGCATCCGCCAACCACCCACTAACATAACAGCGGAAAGAAGACCAAGACACCCGGTCCTCATTATTTTAAAAAAATTAAAATTCCGCACTCAAAATTGAACGCACGGCATTGGCAACACAAAAATAGGTAATAAAAGTGTCGAAGATTAGGTGTTATCAATGGGTAACCTGTAAAGAGAAATAAGAAGGAAAAAAAGGAGTGGGGCGGGGGAGTTAAGGGCGATAGATGTTTGATAGGAAAGAAGGCGCCAACCACAAGAGAACACCTGCAACGACTCACAGCGAATGGGTTTAATTCTCCTATCAACACTATTTGCTCACTGAAGAGGCGGGCGTCCGAATGTAACGTCCGTCTCCACCAATAGGACCGAGCCGAATGGGTAGAGAGCCTTGAAAACTCCACAAAACGATCGAGTTAAAAAATGCCCGGAATATTGGAAAGGACTGTCTTCGACAGACACATTATGATTGATAAAGCTTAAGCTAAAAGATGACTCCAACATGCCCACTCACTCTTCGTGTTCCTTCATGAGAGAGTGAGTGACTGGAAGATGGGGAGAGAGAAACGATAAAGAGAGGTACATCGACAGAAAGAGGGAAAGGAGAGGGGGGGGGGGGAGAAGAGAAAGAAAGCCGGAGATATGGAGAGGGAGATGAAAAGAGAGAGAGAGAGAGAGAGAGAGAGAGAGAAAGAGAGAGAGAGAGAGAGAGAGAGAGAAAGAGAGAGAGAGAGAGAGAGAGAGAGAAAGAGAGAGTCGGAGAGAGAACGAGAGAACGGGAGAGCAGGGAGAGAGGGGGGGGGGGGGCAAACACTAAAAGTGTTATGGAACGGATGCAACTTGTGATGTTTCATCCAAAACAGTGTGAAGGAACGAAGACCTCCCACAGGCTAAATCGGCACTGTATGTCAGCATGTGCGAGGGTATATTATGTGAAAGTGTGCGTGTGTATGTGTGTGTGTGTGTTTGTAAGTGTTTACGCGTGTGTGTCAGTCTGTCTGTGCGTGTGCTTGTGATAAAAGGGAGAGGGAGGAAGTGAGAGAGGGAGAGAGAGAGAGAGAGAGAGAGAGAGAGAGAGAGAGAGGCAGAGAGAGAAACAGAGAGAGAGAGAGGAGAGAGACAGAGAGAGAGAAAGAGAGAGGCAGAGAGAGAGAGGCAGAGAGAGAGAGAAAGAGAGAGAGGCAGAGAGAGAAAGAGAGAGAGAGAGAGAGAGAGAGAGAGAGAGAGAGAGAGAGAGAGAGAGATCTTATTACGACGCGATCATAAAACCCAGTGAAATGCAGCACCTCAGTAGCCTACATGCAAGGTAGATCTAGTGGGTACCTTTGCAACTGTGCTAGTCTGCTAGTCTATCGCACTGCGGTGAGGTGCGGGTAGCAGGTAGGTAGGTGCACAACGCATCAGAAACAGTATGCGGTGGAGGAAAAAAATATATTTAAAAAAAATTTATTTATTTCTTTAATTATTATTATTTTATTTTTATAATTTGTTTTGCTATTAGGCTTTAGTAAGAGTATTGCGGTACATGTACTTGCAACACAGTTAGGTCATACAAGTGCCGAAAATTAGAGGAGCTACAAGAGCGTAACAAACACAGAAAGAGGGAAGAGAGATTTAATAAGGAAAACGGGAACGGTGTTTGAAAGGAAAGAAGGTGGAAAACCACACCAGAGCACCCGCCATCAGCCCACTTGCTTGTTAAAATAATGATTTTTAGAGAAATTTTTATACTAAAAAATATGGAGCGAATACGCCTAGGTTCCTTTGCAAGGATACAAATAGTTTAGTTTAAGTAAGAGTTTTACGGCACTCGCAACTGCATAAAAGGTCATATGAGCGCCAGAAGATAAGAGGTGTTACAAGAGAGTAACAAACACAAAAAAGACGGAGGGGAGATAAGGACGATAGATCTTTGATAGGAAAGAAGGAGCAAACCACACGAGAGCACCCGCCAACCACCCACTAGCATACACATATATCAGACACAGTGAATGTCGACAGTGAGAAACAAAAGGCAGACAGTTCTCGTCGCCATAAACCACAGCTGAGCATAAAGCAAGGTGGCAGCTGAAGGTCCCCGGGTACGCTGAGAGAGAGAGAGAGAGAGAGAGAGAGAGAGAGAGAGAGAGAGATGGATGTTATACAGTATCACAATATCCAGTTTTAGCACATGAATACACTCAAGTGGACAAGCGAACGCAAAATGAAAAAAAAAATCATTTTAAAAAGGAAGAAAAAAGACAAAAAGAAGGAGAAATGGCTGCCCGGCAGATAGACTAGTGTCCATATGGCGAAAAATGCTCTAGCTCCTCTCATAGCATACACCGACCAACCACCTCGGCGCAGATCGAGGCAGAATGTGGCACGTGCCACACACACAAGACACGCCAACATTGTTTATCTCGACGCCACTATTATGATATTCTCCCGAAGACTGATTTCCCGAGGCTTCGGAGCTAGAAACGCAGGCCCCGGAGATGCGCGCGATAGGACAGGCTATTCTCTTGGAAGGCCAATTTTCTTGGGGCAAATCAAATAAATGTTGTGACGTGCTGCCGTCTGCAGATCGATTAGCCACTCCCTGCCTGCGCATGCGCGCCGACCTGAACCGGAAGTCCTTGGCAGTGAGGGGCCGAGTTATGGTTCTCGGGAGAGAGAATGCTTCTGGAAGAGAAGGGCGTATGGGTAGTAGAAGTAGAAAGAATGTTTGGGTTTTATTTATGTTTTTACAAGGCTTGAATGAAGATATAATTAATGCATTATTGATGCCCATGTCACGTTGTTATTTTACGCGTGAGTTTTTCTTATCTCTATCTCATTCTGTCCGTCCGTCTGTTCATTTCACTTTTTCCGTCTTTATCCTTGCCTGCCTGCCTGCCTGC